CCATTCAAACTTCTATTTAAATACGTTTAATTGTTGATTCTTCAGCTCAAAGTAATCAAATATCAGGCACATTATGAGGCGTTCATGATCTGCAGAAATGCAAAACACGACCTTCTCAGTCGAAGACGTATAGTTACCAAAAGAAAAAATCACCGAATCCTTGAGGAAAAAAACGCTAACCGGTGCAACCAAAGACAGTTTTTATCAAGCACTGAAGGGCAGTAAAACAAACAAATTGAAAGTGACATGAATATGTACAGTCGACTTATTCAACAGCATGAATAACAATTACGTGCGTATACTATGAAGCGCTACGTATCGTTACGTTTTCTCCTGGAATCTCGTTTAGTGTTTAGACTTCAAATATGCTTCTATGTTCATATGAAACATAGAAAGAGTAAAAAGAAGATGCAGAAGAAGAAGAAGAAGAAAGAGCGTTACCCTTGAGTATTTTATTGAATTCTGACGTTTTTGGTGGTTAATTAAGCTATCTACAGCACAGCGTTCCTTATCTGCCGTTTATTCTTTATCTCCACCACTTGTGTCCCCGTCGCCACCCACGGTGGTGGTGCTCTGTATGTTCGCATCTCACTATGGAGTGTCTCCTCCCACACCCGTTGTTAAGGACGAAGCAGCTCCGATCCTTCCACGTCGTCTCCTGATAAGAAAAGACGCTGACGAAACAACTGCCTTAAACGTCAGACAAGCAAGCCTCAAAGATTCCGCACTTCCCCTCAAAACAGGCTAACAATCCCCATCCCCATTATGGTCGCCATTGCCCCAACAGATGCTAGGGCGTAATCGTTCACTCTAGCATCCTGCAACTTGTGCCCACTTTTAGATTCTTCTCGGCCGCGGGCGCCAAATGGCAGGGCGACGCGACGTTAGCGTCACTTTCGCGTTTTGGAATGTAATCGTAGGACGACTGCCCTCCCTGGCACAGGCATGGACAACCGACTGATAACTCTGCTCCCGCCTCTCTGGTTTATAGTTCAACCACAATGCACATCGCCTATGTACCCTGATTACGAGCTCAGAAAAAGCGAAAAAATATTAGTCTGGCTTCAGTAGCGAAAGCAGAGAAGCTGGTTGGCCTTGTTAACTTCGCCGAACGCATCTGGACTGACGCTGGCAGGTGGTGAGCGCAGTAGATGCCGCGCAATTCTACACTCACTGTGACCTTATGAATGCGCAATTTATCGTTCGTACAACACCTTACTGTGGAGCATAAAGTAGACTCTGTCGAAAAGGACAGCCGATCTTTTGTGTAATTTCGTCAGTCAATTCAGTCAGGTAATCTAACATGGCGTGCAAGGTCAAGGTCAAGGCGCGCAACTTATCTTTGAAAGCTAAGTGAAATGGATATTTTATCAGATTTCATCGTTCCCTGCTGAAGTTATTAGCTTAATTGCTGTT